GCCATCCTGGCACGTGGTCAGCCCTTGAACTTTGCCCTGCCCTTTGGAGTGGCCAAGCCGGCGACGGGCGGGATTCAGCCCTCAGCCAGCTATATGCCACGGTGCAAGTCATACGCCGGCAGCTATGTGGACTATGCGGCGTCACTGCCACCGAACGAGGCCTATCTGCAGATGAAGTACACCACACTGCCGCCGGAAACGGAAGCGGAGGCGGGAGGCAGCTGCAATGGCCTGGCCGAGCTGGAACGAGTCTTCGGGGATGCCAATGCCAACTTCCTGCAGCAACGGAGCACTCCCGTGGCCACATCCTATGGCCACGATGGATTGAACCAAGCACAAAGGAGCCGCAGGCCCACGCAATCAGAGTCCGAGTGCAGCGACATTGATTGCGAGCATTTGGACGAGGATGAGGAACAACCAACTGCCGCAGAGTGAAACCAATCTTGAATCTTGAATCTTTAATATTTATGTTCCGTTCGTCGTCGTCGTCTGTCACACACAAAAATATGATCATACAAAGGGTAGTCATAGGGGGTAGAGTACGTGTCCTGTCGGCGTAGATTCCATTACAACTAGCTGAGGGTGGCACACTTTCAGACCTGGCTCACCCCATCTGGCTTAGCCCAGGTCTAGGTCTAGATCTGGCTCTAGTTCTACTTGTAGTTCTAGTTCTTGCACTAGCGCTAGTTATTGCTATTCTATGTTACATTGTGGGTCGGGTGTTGTTTACTGACTGGCTCTCTCAACAATTAATAAATGTTAATTAATTAAATCAAAAATCACAAATCACAAATATTACACGTCCGTTGCCGTTAGAACTCGAGTTGGATCAACTTAAATGCTAAATGTTACACGCTGAATACTATAACTAAACCGTTGCTATAACTATTTTGCAATTTAACATGATAGATTGAGAGCGTTTGAGAGCTGTAACAAAAGCGAACGACATTGACTTATTTACAATTCATTGCGTTGCTTGCCACACAGTGCGGTTCGGTTAACTACTATACATATTGGAGACTCTTTTGATTTGATTTTGTTACGCCAACAGCAGTTCTGTGGCTCAGGGCACACACGAGACACCCATCATTTATACACTTTGCTATAAAAAGTCATGGCTATCTCGCTAAGCCCTGGCCACGCGATGGCAAAAAAGAAAACGGGGCAGTGCTGCCCCGTTTGAGGAGATTCCATAGTTACAACTTAGCTAATTGGTCAAACAATAATAAAAAATTCATAGGGCTATTTTTTGGTATTACAAGCACACGGGGCTATCTGTGTGGTATTAGAGGTGGATTTGGATTCGGCGGTGTTTTGGACTTAGCGTCGTTAGCTCCACGAAAGCTCATAGCCCTTCCAGTTGGCATTGGGTGCCAAGTGCACCCGTCGTTTGTTGTAGTAGAACGAGACGATGCCATGGTAGGCCGTCCGTGGAACACCGCTCTGTAAGTATCAATAATCGTGTTGTAATAGAAATAGTTACAAATACATATCACCATTGATTTACCTTGAAATCATCCATTAGCCCCAGCATCTTGGTTGTCCGCTTGTATTGTTCTCTTGTAGTGTATTGAATGCGAACAGGTCCTTCGATTCTGTAAATGTTAAAACTAGTTTTCAATAAGAGCCCTTCATAAATTAGGAGGGTATGAATCATTCTAACACAGCATTATTCAAGGGTAAGAGGAATTCATTTGTTTCAAGAAACGATAAGAACTTTTTATGCTTCCAACGTTTTAAATGCGATCCACTACCAATTATTTATTTATTTCAAAAGAGGGAAAACTCACCGTATCAGGTTCCGACGCAGTTCATCGTACGTAACAATTGGATACGTATAAACGCGCCGCACAAACGTATTATCGTAATTGTCCTACAACAGAAATTAATAATCAAAGTGGTCAAGTGATAAAACAATAGTTCACTTACCTTCAGCAAGTAGCTCATATTGATTTTAGTGAACTTTACAAAGTCCTCGCTGAGTTTAATGTGCTTCAGATACTTATCGAAGAACAGGCCGCTATAACAACAAATAGAAAACAAATTATAAAGAGCAATTAGGGGGCATTTTGTTCCAATTTGTAGTAGTTATCTCTTACTTGGATACGCCTATTTTTCCAAACGTGCGAGTCCGCGATATTTCGGGCCTAATGCACACGCGATCTTTGCGCTGCGCTGGATGACGTATCCAATCATCCCAGAAGCTAGAACAGTTAACAAACAATTAGCAATCAACGATCTAAACGATCTAAGCGAACGGCATAATTGCCACACTCACGATTTGGGCCATTTGACGGAGAGTTCGGCCCACAGGTCTTTGGTGAGCATCCAACCGAGACCGGGGAAGAAGTCGGTGCGGTAAAGCAGCTCTGGCTGTGCCGTATCCACCACGGCAGCCTTGCCATTGTCGTTCCACGCGGACACGCACCACAGGCTGGGATCCAGCTTGAGCAGCTTGTGCGTGCCCAGGAAGTACTCGAAGAAATCGGGCGCCACATTGAGATCATCCTCGACGATGATCACGAACTCGAAGCCCACGCCGAAGGTGGTGTTCAGGGCCCAGCCGTAATGCCTGGCTATCTTGTAGTAGCCCTTGAACTTCTTCTCCTTCGGCAGCACGGTGATGTCGCTCAGATCGGGCTGCTCGATGAGGGTGACCTGGTTGCCGTACGACTGGATTATCTCCTTGGTGGGCTCATCGCCGCAATCCTAGGGCAAACATAAGAAACATAACCATGTGAAAGATGGGCTAATATCATAAGCCACCTACCTGCGACACTATAATGGGGAACTGCTCTAGGCTGGGCCTGTACTGCACCAGGTTGTCGATGCACTTCTTCACCGACACCCGATTGCAGGCGAAGACCAGGACTGGGAAGACGGGCTCACCGTTGGCCAGATACGTTTTTGTTGGTATCCGCGCCGTGGCCACCTTGGCCACACGCTGCTCGGGCAGCTCCGCGGATATTTCAGCCGCAACGATGCTGATCTGGGGCGTGGATCCTGCCGCCGCAGACGGTGGCATTGCTGCCGGTGGCTGGTTCTCCAAGTACTTGATTTTCACAAACTCAAAGACGTTCTTGGCCAGATGATGGCTCTGCTGGTTGGCCTCGCGTGCCTGCGAGTTGACCCGAAAGGCCTGGTGCGCCTGATCCCGGCTCGTTTGGACGCCCGTTTGGCGCAACAGCAGATAGTAGGTGGCATAGGTCCACGTAACCAGAAAGCCAATTACCAGCAGCACCTTCCGCGATCGCATCTTCTTGGGGTTAGGGTTTTGGTGGGTGGTGTTGGTGTTGGTGTTGGCTTAGGTGGGCGTCTGCTGCAGTGCGTCTCTAGTAATGCAGCTGCAGCGGCATTGGCATTAGCGTGAAGCTGGCTTATCGGATTCGGTGGGATTGGAAGCCCTCGACTGGCCCGTCTACAGAAGAGCATCCGTGTCAATGTGATGTTGATGTTGATGTCGATGTCGATGTCGGTGTCGATGCCGTGTCCAACAAGCGTGTCCAGCATTGGGCTCGGGCACGGGCCCAGCTGGAATCGTTGTCATCGACTATATCTGCATATGTTAATATAGTCGCACGTCACAGTCCAGCGACCGCCAACCAGGCAAATTTCTCCGATTCGTAATTTATGGATTATGGTTTCTGGGATGCCGGATTCTTGATCAAATCGAAACGAATCGAAACAAATCGAAGCGAATCGAACCGAATGTGGTGGCAAATCGAATCGCGGATGTGTCACACGCTCAACTGATCCGCAGGAAGTCCGATCGATTTGTTCGCCGGTTGGATTAACGAGTTTGTTTGCCTAGCTGCCGGTTCTCGCTTCGATTGACAGCCACTGGTTACGTGTTTGCCTGTAATTTGTTTGCATTGCTTAAAAGGTAAACCATTTGGTGAGAGAAACGCCAGCGTTTTGGAGATGGCACTGCCGATGTTGCTTATGCGATACTATCGGTGTGACCAGATATTCCAGGCCAAAGCACTAACGCGTCGCCAAAAGCAATTTCTCTTCTTCTTCTTTAGTAGGGGCATTCTTCTTTGGAGCGCATTCGGTGTTAGGCGGTATTTTTAAATTGCAAATATAAAAACTTTATACTTCTTTGACTATCCATAAATTGATCGCTGTCAAATTACTATTAATTAGCTTACATTTTATAATAGGCTTCGAAAATAAGTGCTCAAGTTGGACTAATTTGCAAAAATATGATTTACCAATCACATTTTTGAAAAGGCGGACATAGCAAATTGAAAAAATAAAACATTTTTTAATTTAAAAAATTATTTGGACTATAATAAAAATTTTACTAACGAAATATTTTGTGAAACTCTTTCAACCGAATAGTAATTTAATGTCAGCTTAAGCTAAATCTTTTATTAATTCTACGAAACATATAATTAATAACATTACATTGACTTTCAAAACAAAACCATATATAATCCAAACTTCAATCGATATACAGCAACTTGGCGGCATTTTAAAATCTATTTGAAAATATTGGGTGTTTCTAGGACTTAGATATTAGATATGTGAGCTTTCAAAACAATTGTCATTTACGGTTAATGGTAAACCACTAAAAACACTTATCCACCATTTTTTCAATACTGACGGGGGCTTCGAACAAGAATTTTTTCTAGCACCCAAAATTGTTTTTTAAATATTTCCCAACTCCAATCTATATTCAGATTTTACTAAATAAATTAATTTTACAAAGCTATAAAGGTTTTATTATTGTCCCGGTTTCTTCAATTTCTTGTCCTGTTAAATGAAAGTCAGACGAAGTTTTAGCCTTATCGTATTGGTTTTCTTCTGCCTCCACGTACAACTGTCATTTACCCAATAAAAAAGCCAAAGTGTAATTTCCTTAAAATTCTTCAAGAAACATCCTTGCTTTTAAGCAAGGCTCCAACAACATACCAGAATTGATGGCTCCACAAAAGCGTGCCCGGCACTATTAAGCTTTATTGATAGCTATAAATTCAAGAGATCCCAAAAAGTCATTTCGATCGGAGTTTCGTTTAATCAATTAATTCGTTTAGTTTAGTCGTTAATTAAATTAGCTTAACTGTTACACTTAGGAGACTAGTAGGTGCTTATGAGTTAGACCGATATCTTCAAGTTCTCCAATATATATGCATATTTATATATTTATATATAAGTGTTTTGTGTATTTTAATAAGAATCACTGTTGTCTGTCTGTTTTTGTTTCATGTTTCATGTTTCTGTCGCAATGTCGCCTGCCATAAGTCGTAGAAAACCTAAGCTACGCATACATTTAAAGTTAATTACGTTTTGTAAATGGCAGTTACATCAAGTATAGGTATATATTAGTAGTTAGGTAGTACATTAATATTCCCTCCTTCGTTCATTGCCACTGCACGCAATTCCGCCCTGATTAGCATTCACGCCTTGAGAGATTTACAACTTCTAGATCAGCCGCCAACTCAGGGACCCAAGAAGCGTCCAGAGAACCAGTGACAGGCCGTTCGATGCCGATCCCGATCCCGATCCGGCGCTAAGGTGTCCCAGCTCCCGCTCGTCCACCACAAAGGCGGGCATAGCATTGGCAGGCGTCTGCTCCAAGGCAAAGTTGCCGCGGCTATTCCTGGCCAGACGCTGGTTAGCCAGCTTCAGTTCCCGCAGCTTCTCCTCCAGTTGCAGGACCTCATCTGTCAAAAGTAAAAGCGAAAAAAGAGAATTTAATTATAAAATTTAATTATATTTTTACCAAACAAAATAGTTGTTGAGAAAACTCACTTTTGTTGACTCCTTCGATGTCCTGCACCTGCAGGAACATGGCCAGCGATATCTCGTAGACTTTGTTCGCCGCACTGATCTCCCGCTTGCGTCGGCCGAAGCCCACCTGGTTGTTGGAGCACTGGGTGCCCAGACACTTGTCCAGACACACATTCACCGTGGCCCGGAATTGGACGTACGACGAGTCGGGGAACTTGAAGGCCTTGAACTTGGCACTCAGAATGTCGCCGTCGATGGTGTTAAAGTTCTCGAACAGATAGGGATCCACAGTGCAGCTACGTTTAGTGGTAATTAATTCATTCAGAGCATTTACTATTTAGATGTACAAATGTCTTACCCCTTGAAAATGAGTGTTTCGGATGAGGTATGCGTATCCGTCACATCCAGATAGTTTACCCCAAGGCCATATACAGGTGCTGAGTCCTCGTCCAGGTTGATTTCCATGGTCAAAGGTGTACCCTGTTGCACCAAACAAAAATAAAAAGGAATTCTTATAATAAATATTAAATATAATTTGGATTAATTTGAAAGTCTCCAAAAAATGTGTCATTTTTATTGAAAGCTTCAGCAAATTCAAAAAAAAATTGTTTGTATAATAATAGTAATTTTAGTTTAAGAGTTTTTTTAACGAAAAAATATAAAAATCAGCTTAATATTATGATTTTTTGTAAATCAAACTATTAAAACGACTTTTTAACCAAGCAAGCTAAAGCTACCAAATTTTAAATACGTTTTTTTTCTTTATAATTTTTATATTTGTTTCCCTTTCTATGCAATAGTTTATAATTTAAAATTCAATGCTATTTCCTACTTCTAAGCATGTTTTAAGCATGTTGCTTAAAAAGGTAATTTGAAGATTATTAGGAGCTTGCTTATATTTGCTCTGAGTTATATGTTATGTGGCGAAAAAGAACGAAAACCAAAAGTTAAATCATAGACAAAGTAACTTTGTAAATGTTATTTATATTAATGATGTTATTTGGGCATAAAGAAAACTATAAAAAAATACTACAATATGTCGGCATAAAAAGAGAATTATATTTTAAACCCAAATTTCCTGCAATTGTTTCAAAGATTTCAATAACTCACCGACTTGACCGTCAGATCCCTGGTGAACTTCTGACCATCCTGGCTAACGCCGATTGAGAGCCTGGGCTCTGGGGCCCGCTTGGTCAGCGACGTGGTAATCTCCAGATCCCTGAAAGCAAATCGATTCAACGTGTTCAGTACTCCCGATTCGAGGTCTTAATGATCGGCGGGAAAGGAGGACGCCAAAGGGCGGTAAATCAATGCCCTTCCCCCAGCATTGAAAAACAAACATTGTATTCGATGAGGGGAAGGAATGGGGGAAACCGAGTCGAATCCAGAGACCAAGGCTCTCAGAGGGACATCGACACGCCCCGCAATTAAATTGACTGTGTGGCAGAGGTATTAACGCATGTGAAGCCGCCGGCGTCGATTTGGCGGCTAATTACCTCCTGGTAATGGCAATTCTCGGATAGAAAGGAGGAGTGGGAGGCGCAATGAGCTGGGATGGGTTTGATTTATGGCCCTCGGTTGGGTATTAGCTAGGACTTCGACTTCGACTTGGACTTGGTCTTGGTCTTGGTTTTGGTCTTGGAATCAAGAACTGGGAGCAGGGCTGGTCCTGGGCATTTAATATGCCATCAATTTTTGCATAGATTGCCCATAAAATTGTGCATAGATGCAGTTGCCGTTTATGGGCAATTAAAAGCGGGGAGACAGCGCACACGGATCCGGAGCGTGCCCGCCGAGGGACTTACTCGGGTTCCTGGAATCCCGCCGGCAGCACATCCCGCTTCACCAGACCGCGAGTGCCACTGGATGGGGCGGTGGCACTGGACGTGGAACTGGACCCGCTGGTGGCGTTCATCATCACATTATAGGCGGGACTGGCGGTGGTGATGCATTTAACGCTGACGATCTCCTTGCTGCTGGCCGACTCGATGATGATTTTATGGTAATACACCTTCTTGCCCTGCAACCGATAGAATCCAAAGCTAGAGCGATTGCAGTTCCTATTTCATTTTCCGCTTACCGTTAGCTGGTTGACCATCCTCGTGACTCCGCACTCGTAAAAGTCACTCAGGGAGAGCCGAAAAACGGCCAGCGATCCGTCGATCTGCGGCTGGCATCGCTCATCCGGATAGCCCTTGAGTCCCTCCAAATAGATCTGCGGTGCACTCTGATCCTTCGAGTCTGCATCTGGCAGACCGATGTCTACTCGCATTTGATCCTCCGAACAGTGCACCTTGTGGGATCCTAAAAAATACATAATATAAAAAGAACATTTTTAATTTATTTTTTCTGTGCTGCCTGCCGTTTCCACATTCTTCGTATGCTACTATATAGTACAAAAAAGTGGGCTAGCATGTCGTCCAGTAATCGGAGCTGGACTGGATTCTGGACTGGCTAGCCGAGCCACGCCCCCTATCATCATCATCATCGTCGTCGTCGTCGTCGTCTTCGGACTTTGACGAGATGGACCCGGGTAGCAAACACTAAACAATTGCCAAACATAATTGGCATGTGTTCAGAATCGAGTTTGTGGCTTAAGTCTTTTGTTTTTCATTCGTTGTCACACTCAAAGAAATGGTAAAAGTACTTTGAATATCCTTAAAGTTTTATATATATTTAAAAAAGTCGAACATTCGAACATGTGTTGAGAAGCGAATTTGTTACTTAAGTCTCTTGTTTTTCATTCGTTGTCACACTCAAAGAAATGGCAAAAGTACTTGGGATATCATTAAAGTTTTATATTATGGTAAAATAATCGGTAACCTAGCATACATCATTTTGCTGTTTTTATTTTTTACCAACCATTTATCTAAGTGCAGTGCTTTGCGTTGTCTTTTATCGAGGTGGCTTAATAAACCCGCAGGGCTACTTTCTGGGGCCGGTGGAAAGCAAAAACCTGGCATTAGCCCAAGACACACTCACACACTGCTTTGGTTTAGTTTAGATGCACTTTGGCTCTCGCTTTGGCATAATTTTAGCCCCGGCCGGGCAATCAAATTCTTATTACCGTCGAACATGTGTAGGACGCCAAGAAATTATCGGCTTAAATGCTTTGCCGACGAGGCCATTAGTTGGCCAGGATTTGGAGCAGGCCGGACAGAGACTAAATAGACTAAAACCACCATTGCCATTTGTAGATGGCGAAACTAATTTAAATAATTGACTCTAACTACTTAATCTCGCACTAATGGCCATGGCAAATTTCGCAATTTCTGGGCGGAATCCGAATCGCGTACTGTTTTCCTTGGTACATGCGATAATTCCGCTTAATTAGCCATTGCGAGAGTAAAATCCACTCGAAACAATGAGATCGGGCAGTAAATGCAGTAAAAGCGGAAAATGCGGAAAAGTACTATCCATGGCAATTAAAAATAGCAATGCCTCCTGTTTTCCCAGCCCTCCAAGGCCCCCCTTTATTTCTCTTTATTTTTCTCAAGTCTGCGACTGTGTAATCCGAGCAGCAGCCTCAAGGTGGGCGTAATGCAAGCGGCGCCCAAGGAAATTAAAATAAGAGCCGGCCTGCCCACAAACGGCAGCTTGACTTCCGCCCCAAGAATAACTCGATCGAGAAACGAGGTCTGCACTAAAAAAAGAGAGTGAATGGGCCGGCAGAAGGAAAGCCGGCAATAAAACAAATACGATGGCAAGGGCATTAATGGAGCATTAAGGATGCCGGACTTGAGGCGTTGAAAAGGCCTGATGGACTTCAAATTACATGCAGTCATGGTTGCGGGCCATTCAATTGCTCAAAGCGGATGGGATACGATGGGAATGTGCCTGAAGATGGGAATAAGGAAGGTATTAAGTGGCAGGGACAAAGAAAGAACAACATTGCTCCATTTGAATTCCGTTTTAATCTTTCAAACCTTAAAAAAAAGGAGAGGAAAATTAATCCTTATAAATATATAAAATGGTGGGTTGAACGCAAATAACACACGGGAAATATATATTATTTATTTATAGTTTTTAAAGAAACTTAGAAATCAAGAGATTTTTGTATCACAATTTCAGATAATAAGTAATTTTTACCATTTTCTAATTATAAAATTGTTATACCACCATTTAAAGTACTTTTAAAATTGAGGAAAGATCCAATCCATGTTTGCAAAGTAAGAATTGTAAGTAAGGATTGGTATACCACCATTTCAAATACCTATTTGAAAAGTAAGGAAAATATCTTTTTCTATATAGCTATATTTTTCTATCTAGTTGATATATGTTTTTTAATATTATTATTATTTTAATTTTATAAATTAATGTCCCTATCAAAGTGAAAATCAAAATAAATTCAGTGTTCTGTTATGAGCTTGAACTTGCCAATTTTGCACTGATGGTTGCTACCACCTTTTGTAATCTTCTACATTGCTAACTTTGGATATATATAGGCAACGAAAGACCCCCACTGAGGGATGAGCAGTCTGTCCTGGACCCCCGATAGACTCATACCCAGTGTCTTGTCCAATAAAGTTGTTTCTCCTGAATGTTGAATGCTGGTGGGCGAAACGCCAGACTTCGGAGTGCAGCTTGGAATAATTGAATTTCGAAATGACTTGGCCCTTGCTTGGCTTTTCTGCAACTTCTTTTATTGAATTTTTATTGCCGGCCGCTGATTACAATTTATTTGACACCATTTTTATGGGGCAAGCCAACTCGTGAGAACCCTAAACCGCTTCGAGACAAAGTCAAGAGAACATAGACACAGACTTAACCCACATTTTTGCCAGGAATCTACTTCGAAGTGCTTCGAATCAGATTGAGTGGCCGAGTGGGTGTCCGGATCGAAGTCTGAAAACTGTGGACTGAGAAGGGAGGACTGAGGCATTAGCATTTAACCTGCGAACATGACAAATCAGCAAAACGTGCCACATGAGCATGCCCCGCCGCCCAATCATGTAAGCAGCTTGTTGCCGCAACCGTTGAGCGGAGCATAAATTTCCATTAACAATAAATTTAAAAGAAATAACATTACAGCCGAAAATGACCCGTAGCGAAGTTCCCTGGAACTCAACTGGCATTGGGAATGGGTATGGGTATTGGTATGGGTATGGGTATGGGTATGGAGATGACGATGAGGATGGGGAGCATGAAATATCACGGCATGGCCAGAAATTCGGGGAGTCATCAACAGGCGAACATGCCTCGAAGGCCGATAGACAGGACAGCGAAGTGAGCACCACTCTGCCAAGTGCTTCCCTCCAATTCCTATCGCAATCAGCAGCCACGACAATGTTTTTGGCTGTGTCTCTAGCTCTAGCTCTGACTCTGACTGTGACTCTGACTGTGACTCTAGCTCTGGCTCTGGCTCTGGCTCTCCTTCAAACAATTTGGCAACAAATGCGCGCGCACAATCAAATGAATGCACAAATCAATAAGACAACAAACTGCAGCAAAAGCAAAAGCAACAACTGCCGCCGCCGACAATTGCACAACGTGCAAAATCGTTTACAAGCCACGCCAAGTCAACTCAAGTCCAAGACCAACTCCAACTCCAACTCCGGTTCTAACTCCAGATGTGGCCAAGATCGGCGGTCGAAGACGGGGCCGAAGCTTAGGCCAAAATAACCAAATCATTGCCATGCAAATGGCATCGTTTTGTGGCCGCAGTCATCGCCAGCTACCCTGTCCTCTCCACTTCCTTCCACTGCCGCGGAAGAGTGGTCGTGAAAGGTGGGAAAGACATCTCCTCCTACCACTTGGGAAGTGTGCAGTTTGTCCCCACTCAGCTGGCCAACACTGAGAGAAACATTTAAAGAAAATAACAGAGTCAAGCAAACCGAAATTCCTGAAGGTTTTTTATGTTTTGGTATTTTTATTTGGTTATGAGGTAAAAATCAATAAATAAAACTATATTAAACTTTTCATAGCACAACACAAAGTAAATTTTAAGCACGTTTTTATTTCTAAAAAACTTCTTTCTGCATTGAATTATATAAATTAAATTCATTTATTAAACATGAACATTGTTGAGATCTTTTTTATTTCTCGAATTTATAAGTTGTTTACCGATAGCACCTACAAGTACTGAACAGATTTACATTTTTCTAATTTTTTTATAAATTCTAATATCAAGCAAGTCTTTTAAATATATAATTTACTACTTGAAAAAAAGTAAAGTGTCAGCTAAATGTTTGCACTCTATATAATGTTTTCATAAGCTCATAGACTTAAATTATTTATTTAAATTTCGCTTATTTCGCCCAGTGTGGCCTTGGGACACGGGCAATGTTGCTACAATTGTCTCATGGACGAGTGTGTGAGTGTGGATCTCCGGCGTTTTTGTCTGGGATTGCAAGTGCAACTGCAACTGCAATTGCAATCGCAATCGCAATCGCAATTGCCATGGCCATGGCCACGGCTAGATTATGCAATTGTCTGACTCAATGTCTCCTCAGTGTTGGCCGATCTGCGTCGGTGTCACTGTTCCCTGTTCTCCATCGCAACAGCCTCTGTGTGGGATTCCAGTCACGTTTCTGGCTGCTGGTGGCGGATCAGAGGATTAGAGGATCGGTGGATCGGTGGATTGGTGGATTGGTGGATCTGGGCTGGATTGGGAAACTGTTTTCGGGCGCTCTTCGCGAAGAAGTGTTAGGCCTGGAGGCGTCTGTGGCCACTCAACGGTAAACGCAGGAGGATGGCTAGGTTTTTGGGAACCCATTTAAGAGAAGGAATTAAAGAAGCGATTTGTCAGGTGGGCTGGAAGGGGGCAGGACGTGGAGGAGGAGCAGGTGCCATTTGTGACTTTCACATTTATGACAAGACCTCAGGCCTCCTCAGCTGATAGCGCACAATTCTGGCCCCACATACACAACACACCCGCCTGCTGTCGCAAGAAATTACTTGGCCCGGGCCACTAACTTGACACACACGACGCACGATTATCATCAATCTTCAGCTTCAGGCTGAGCCACAGGAAATACTGGTAATTTTCCCAAACCAAACTGAACTGAACCGAACCGAACCCCCTGTCTCAAACTTTGCAGTCAGCCAGCCAGCCAGCCAGCCAGCCAGCAGTTAGTCTCATCATCCTTTTCAGTGACCAATTACACTTAACGGCCGTGCATACAAAATAAATTAGAAAACCTCAACTGCAGCTGGGTAATGGAATGGTGGCTTTTATGGGTCTCGAGAAGGGGGGCAAAAGGGGGTCTGCGCAGGTCAGCGCCAGTTGCCTTCCAGGTGGGAGCTGTCCGCTCCCAATGGCTCCCCCCCAATATGCTAAGCAGTGTCAATGTGTCAATGTTGCC